AATGATGAGGGCAATGAATGCGCAAATGTGCTTTACACAATTGATGTGTGTATGGATTGTGATAAGAGTTGTATGAGCCCATGAAAAGATAAGCATTTTATGTCTCTAAGAAAGTAAAGTAAAATATTAACCGTGTTTGCATTCAGATGCCTTATATTTTCAGCAAGGCGTGTCCTTCATGCTGGGGGAGCGTAGTTCTTGTCAGAGAAGCTGGGAACCCAATCCAGATGAGCCCGGGCAGAGCACTGGCGTGTACTTACTGAGTTCCTCCCTGGCCGCGCTCCAATGTGCTTCGGAGAATGCACCCTGGGCTCTGTTCTCCTCCTCCAGTGTTGGAGCTCAGTGGGCTTGGACAGGGTGGAAGATAAGCTTACTGGCACTATCAGAAAGGGCATTCCAGAGTCCGAATTCCTCGGGAGCTCCTCTTTCTTGTGGATTTATGTGGAGCTGGAAGCTGGGCTAAGCCTGAGGGCTGGGCCTGGCGTGTGGGGCAATTTTGTCACTTTAGCTGGTTGCTCCTCTGGGAACTTTCTGGATGAAATGCTCCCTCCCACAGGACACAATTTATATTTTACTTCGTCTTTTTTTTTTTTTTTTTTCCTCATAATGCTTAGTGTGTGGAGTGTCAATGCATATATGATACGTTATTGATCCCACCTCAACATTTATGCATTTAAACGAAAAATTTCCAGAAATTTTGCGTGGATTGACACTGATCAGGGGTCTACGTCCCATGTGTCTTGAGACTATGTGAATCCAGGCTTTCATTCAGCTGTGGGAATGAAATAAAACAAAATCATTTGTGTAGGCCAGTGCCTGGAACTTAGTAGATAGTCCAAATTTGTTTTATTGAAACAAATTCACATCTATTCCTTTTTGTCTAGTATGTCTTGAGAAATCTTCCTGTTGTCAAGGACTGGTGGCCTTGGGGGTATGTGAGGGGTGGGGCATTTTCATGTATGGATGGAGGCTCCGATGGCTACTGCCTTCTTAGTTACTTTTGGGTTAGAATGGATTTTCCATATATTCCCACAATTAAATGGGTATTGGCAGAAATTGACTTGTAGGGTACAATGTGGAATCTCTTAAGGTTTGAGCTGAAGATCTGAGTTTGTGCAGAGTTATAGTATCGCCCGATTGTATTGTGGGTAGAAATCAAGCATTCCCAGGCTTAGTCAAATAAGACAAAGGAAATGATCGTTAAGGTTGACTGTGGGGGGTGGGGGCCGGGGGGGCACGGAGCTGATACCGAGGGCTCAATAGAAAGTAACTGTCTAGAACAGAATGATGGCAACCTATGTACAAATATGCCCGATACAGTTGATGTATGGATTGTAAGAAGCATTGTAAGAGCTCTCAATAAAATGATTAAAAAAACACAGTGAAACTTAACATGAACTGAGAGAACTGTTGCTGGGTGTGTAGTTGTTAAACTCAGAGAGATTTTGTTTCATCGTTAAAAAATATTGGTAATAATGAGTACCGGCTAAGAGAAGTCAGACGAGGGAGACATTGAAGTCATGTCACGCAGACTCAGCAGACAGAAGGAGCAATCACACTCTGGTCTCCAGCTCTGAGAGGCTGTAATTAGTCAGTGGGGCATATGGATCTGGGTTAGGGAGACAAACGCAGGAGATGAAATGGTGTTTCTGCTTTGCTCCTTCAAGGGCCTCAGGTTTCCGTCGGTGTTAATGAACTTCATCTTTCCGAATGGAACCAACACGTCGTCTGAATTTGAACAACAGTAAGTGATCAATTTACTGTTGGAGAAACTTCTGCAATAAGCTCTTCCATTTGTTGAGTGTCGACTGCATGCTGGGCATTCAGACAGAGTTCTTCCTTCACCAATTTCATAAACCACCAAAGAAGACAGTTACCATACAGACACACACTGTCAGTGCTGTGGTGGAGGACAGGCTGCTACTAGGGACTTGACCATGAAGGTCTACGAGGTTCCATGCAGACAGGAAGATCAGCAAATGTCCCTATGGGGAAGGTCACTTTAGGTGAGAGCTGAAGGTTAAAGAGTTGTTGGGTGGAGCGGAGCAGGCAGAAGCATCCAGTGACTTGTGAGAAGGTCCTGAGGCAGCAAAAGCTCGTGGGGTTTGAGGAACTCACATGAGATCAGCAAAGTAGCAACTGAGTCATGGGAAACGAAGTCAGAGAGGAAGATGGGGGCCCACGTGCCATGGAAAAACCCATGGAAAGTAATTATTTTATGAATTATTGGTAGGAGACTTCCCTGAAACTGCTGATGTGTGTAGTGTTAATTCCTTAGCTGCTAGATTATGCCGAGGTGTTTGATAACCTGTAGGCCAGAAGAAGAAATGCAGCCACATCATGGGACGGTCAAAGACGGGGGCTGTGCTGCATTTCCCAACTGGCATGGAAACATTTCACGGTAGCAGCCTGCAGAGACATAAAGCAAAACACAACCCCCTCTTCCAAACCCAGCTACTTGCAAGGGATGGCGACCCATTGCAATCCCTTGTGATATAGTTACAGTTTATTCTGCTGACCTGGCCGATAAACACATGTGGGGTTAATCGAAGGGCGGAGAGATAAATGGCTTGGTGAGTCTCACCTTTCTAGCTCTTGCTTTGTGATGTTCAGATCAGGGTGCAGCTACCTTAGCTAGTTCCCTGCTTCAACCGGCAAGGTTCTCTTCCTGCAAGACATCCCCGAGGAGAAGCCATATGGACCTATCCCGATGCAGCCTTGGGTGCTGGAGCACCCGTGTGGAGACCCCTGCCAGCACTGAGATGCTTCAACGCTCACTGATTCAACTTTCCTCCTGAAGTTGGCATCATAGTGTGTGTTTTGTGAGATGGAGGAGGACTTTGTGGATTGGTGTCAGACATATGGGTTAATGTTGGACTGGTGGGCTTGGGCAGCACTGGATTGGGATGTTTTCTTGATGTGCACTTACCCTGTATATAAAACTCTCTCTTATACACGAGTTTCTGTGGATTTGTTTCTCTAAAGTACCCAGATTATTACACCTTGTGTTGCAGGGTAGAATTGCTTTCCAGAGAGTTTTTAAAGGCTTTGACCTTTTGGAAGTAGAGGGCTCATCTTGTTTTCCAAAAAGTCTCTGGGTGGGTCTGATGTACTAACCTTTCTATCAATAGCTGAGCATTTAACTGCTTTTGCTACCCACACTCATGACCTGTGCATAGAAGTGCGTATAAGTCTTGGCGATGCCCACACAGACTTCCCAAAGCTAGAATCAAGTTGGCACATACAAAACCAAAAGCACTCACTGCCATTGAGTTGAGTCTGGTTCACAGTAATTATATATATATATGGTTTTCGAGAATGCAAACCTTTCTGGGAGCCGACGCCTCATTTTTGTCCTGAGGAGCGGCTGGTAGGTCTACCAGTCCAATATCTAACCCACAGCGCCACCACGTACCAGGTGTGACTGGTTCCTGAGCCCCCCTCTCAGTGTGGCTCCTCTTGCCTCTGCTCTGATCACGTTGCTTCCACCCTAATAACCCAGAGCAATATCCAGAGGGCATAGGGCACCGTCTCCCAGGGCTGCTGTGGGAGCTTTCGCTTTCAGATGGTGGAAGGGCTGGAGAAGGGGGTGACTTCCCTCTGGGAGCACTCTGTGGGGGCCCCATTTCAGGGGTCTCTGCACACATTTCCCTAACCTGGGCTGAGCCTGCTCTCTTGGCTCTGCTGGCAGTCAACGGCCTCTCAGACATGGGGGGCCCTGGGCACGTAGGGTCGGACTCAGAATCAAGGGCTGGGGCTTCCTCAGGAGTCAAGTGCAGGTGCAAACACTGAGGGAGGGTTTGGTGTCGGCTGAACTCCTTGCACACGGACCTTCTCAAGGTCCTGTCGCCGTCTTTCAAGCTGGAACGAGGAGCATCAGGTGAGGGGGCTGTGCGGTTTCCTGTGTACCAGGGGTAGGAGCAAGGGAGTGGCTGCTTGTGAGGTGTGTGGGGTCTGGACCACACAGTCCGCCTCTAAGAAGACTGTGGTCACCAGGGTATCTTGCTTTGCTATTCATTGGTGTGAAGGATGTTGATGGAGCACTTGCTAGGACTAGGCTTGGTTTTCGTGCCTGGTGTTCAGTTAGCAAATCCAAACCCATGGAGCTCTCATTACCCCCAGCGCAGTATCGCGGCAGGTGGTGTTACTCTCCGCCTTTTGCAGATGAGGAAAGCAACCCGGAGAAGGACAGTGGCTTGCTTACGGAGGTCGGTCACTAGAGAGTGACTGAGCCTTGGGGAGAGCCCAGAATCGGCCTGTGAGTCTCTGCTTTCCTGATCATACGCTGCCCCTCTCCCCGCACAGACGCTAAGTGGGGTGAGGCATTTTTCCTGACCTGGGCTAATGTTTTCTCTCTCTCCTCTCCTGTTCTGTTTCCAGTCAGGGTTCCCTACCTCTCAGCCAGAAGTCTTGCCGCAAAGCCAGAGCAGAGAGGATTAATGATTAATGGGGGATGGATGGGTCACCCTCTGGAAGCAGGGAGCGCAGGGCTTGAAACGCGGGTGAACCGTACAAAGACATCCGGCAGAGCAGAGTGTCTGTGATGGAACCATGCCCCTCATCGGATGCCTCTGACGCTTCTCAGTGACTTCCTGGGGACAGCGGGGGAGGACAGGACAAGGGGCAGCAGGAGGCCTCATGTCCACATGGCCTGTGGCCTGTGTCAGGGTCCTCTGACCTGTGGTGAGGCCAGGGCGGTGGGGGTCTTGGAGACGGCTGGACGGTCTCCCCCAGCATCACAGGGGCTGAGGAAGGAAGTTCTGATGTCTGGGCAGAGGGGCTGCATGTTAACGGGGTGGGAACGGAAGGAGTGGTTTCTTCCTAACGGTTGGCTGACACCACAGCGTCTCCCAAGAATGACTGGAAGCGTCTAGGCTGAGCCCTTTCTCTGCATCAGGATTTGTGGGACCCGCCACACCATTAGAATGATGTGTCAGCGAGTGAAGGTGAACGCTGGGTGGGCTGCCTTCTGTCTGTTGGTCCCCTCTGACTCCTGTCCTGTCACCTCCCAGCTCGGAGGAAATGGAGGGCGCCCTTGGCTGCTCTGCGCTCTGCAGCTTCGCTTCCCTGATGCTCCTCTTCCAGCTGCCCACGTGGGGGGCCGCAGGTGAGTGCTCCCCCTCACTCCTCTGTCTGTGTTTCCTTGGCGTGGGTGGGAGCCACAGGTGAACTGCTCATTCTTTCCATCCAGAGGGGTGGAGCCTCTGGGACCCCATCCTACAACAATTATGATTGCTCCGCTATTACTTATTAAAAATAAAGATAACTACAATATAACGCAAGGATAAAACCTTCTGACAATTGCCCCATGATGCCTTCTTTAATGTTTGTTAGAGCCAAATAGATATTGTTTGAAAATACTGTCTTTAAAAAAAAAATTCCCTTACTGATGTCCTAGGAAAACATGTATTCAAGTGATCCCCCAAATGTTCCTGTGGATCTAGGATGTGTTGGGTGTGACTCTGGGAACAGACAGACAGAGACGCTCTGTCTTCAAAGAGCTCACACTCGGTCCTGCAGGAGGCGGTGAACACGAACCGTCACAAATCAAGAACGGCCATACTTTGTTAGAGGAGAGGAGTGCTGTGGACAATGCAGTAGAGCCGGGACGCGCAGGGTGGGGCGAGCGGAGATGAGAGGCGCCCTGTAGGCAGGCAGCAGTGCTCGATGTGCTGATCAAGAAAAAGAGATGGGGACTTGGGGTGTGGGCAGGGTGAGGAGAGTGTGAGGGTCTCTGGGGAAAGACCTATTTTGTTTTTGTTTTTTTTGTTTTCAGGAAGGGGCAGTTAGTACGAAGCTGGCAATGTCCCTGGTAGGTCCAAAGAATATCAAGGAGTGACTATGAGTTGGGGCAAGAGAGTGAGGGAAGGGAAACAGGAGTTGAAGTTAGAGTTTTAGTGAGCTCCCCTCATGCGGCTGAGGAGAGTAGGGCTCTGACATGACCTGGGTCATCCATGAAAAGGATTCCTCTGGTCACCAGGTAGGAAATAGACAGTCGGGTGGAGTGAAGGATGGACAGGGACACCAGTCTGCCGTGGGCCTCCAGGTGGGAGATGATGGTTGTTAGGCCAGGACAGAGCAGTAGAGGAGATGCTACTTGGGAGCCTAGAGTTATTTTCTCTTCAGAGGAGCCGTGTGGTAACCTGACAGTTGTAGCCTGTCCACCTCAGCAGGAGGAGGTGACTCAGGGAGTGCACCTTCTTCTTCTTCTTTTAAAAAAAATCATTTTATTGGAGCTCATACAATGCATCACAATACATAGATCAATTATGTAAAGCACATCTATACATCTGTTGCCCTCATCATTCCCAAAATTTGCTTTCCTCTTGGGTTCCCAGAATCAGCTCATTTTCCTTTTTTCCCTCCCCCTCCCCCGTGAACACTTAGTAATTTATAAATTATTATTATATCTTATATTACACTGCCCAGCGTCTCCTTTCACCCACCCCTCAGCTGCCCGTCCCCCAGAGAGGAGGTTATATGTAGATTCCTGTGGTCAATTCCTCCTTTCAACGCCCCCCTTCCCTCCTGGTATCTCCACTGTCACCCCTGGTCCTGAGGGGTTCATCTGTCCTAGATTCCCTGTGTTTCCAATTCCCATCTGTACCGCTGTGCATCCTCTGGTCTAACCAGGTCTGCAAGACAAAATTGGGGTCCTGGTAGTTGGGGGGAGGAAGCATATAAGAACTAGAGGAAGGTTGTGGGTTTCATTATTGCTATACTGAACCCTAAGTGACTCATCTCCTCCCCACTACCCCTCTGCAAGGTATGTCCAGTTGTCTAGAGATGGGCATTGGGTCCCCATCACACACCACCCTCATTGACGAGGATTGATTCCCACCGCCACTCCCCCTCTTTGGTGTCTGAAGCCTGGTCCCTTCGGCCCTTCATGAGCACACGTTTCACCTTCTTCTTTAAGAGCCTCCCATGGAAGCAGAGGCTCTTGGGAGTCATGGGAGTGAGGGCAGACTTTAAACAGGAATAACATTTGACTCAGAGTGCTAAGTGCACAAAGTTCAGAGAGAAAGATAAGGGAAGGAATAATGGAAGATAGGTGTTGGGGGGCGGGGAATTGTTGGGGGTGGTTGAATGATCAGAGTTCAGACCCAGATCAGCTTTCAGGGCCATTTTCGGGCTGTGCTTCTCAAAGCGTGCTTCCTCAATCAGCACATTTGTAATCCCTGAACTCTTTATTGTCCTTGCTATTAAGCCATAGAGACTTCATGAGCAAGGAAACAGACGTTGCTTTGCCTGCATGGAAGGCTGGAGTAGGATTCTACTATTGAGGCAGTCACCACCTGGTGAACGCCTTAGAAGTGCACATTTGGGGTCTCCTGGATGCTGACTGAATCAGAAATGGTGGGGGTGCACCCCAAATATCTATTTCACCCCCCCCTGGCTGATTCTTCAGAAGCCCTGGTGGTACAGTGCTTAAAGCACAGTGCTGCTACCTGAAACATCACTAGTCCAAACCCACCGGCAGCCCTGTGGGAGAAAGATGTGGCGGCTTGCTTCTGTACAGAGTTGCAAGCGGGGAATCGTATGGGGGCAGCTCTACGCCATCGCAGGATACTTTAGGGTCAGAGTCAACCAGATGGCGAGGGAGGTGGAAAGGCTGAGACCAGGATCACAGCACCCAAAGGAGGCCTTTGGCCCCATTTCTAGGCCACGATGTTGGGGAGAACATTTCAGCCCATTCAGATCCTCCCAGAGTATTTCTTCCGCGGTCAGGAATCATCTGCGATTTTCACCTCGCAGGGTGGATTCTCCGTCCCCCTGGAGCCTGCATTTCTCCTGAGTTCTCATTCCCATGTCTGTGTCCACAGAGGAGTTCCTGGTGATTGGCCCCAAGGACCCCATCGTGGCGGTGCTGGGTGGGGAGATGACGCTGCCCTGCTTTCTGCTCCCGGCCATCAATGCAGACAACATGGAGCTGCGGTGGTTCCGTTCCAAGTTCCAAGACGCAGTGTTTGTCTATGAGAACCGGCAGGAGCGGAGGGAAGAGCTGATGCCGGAGTACGCAGGGCGGACCGCGCTGATGAGGGACTTCCTCACCCAGGGGCAGGCTGCTGTGCGCATCCACCAGGTCCGGGTTTCTGATGACGGGCAGTACACCTGCTTCTTCAAGAAGGGAGACTTCTATGAAGAGGCCACTCTGGAGGTGAAGGTGGCAGGTTCGTGACTTGGTCCATCTATTCCAGACCCCTGGAGGTTGGGAGCGAGGGCAATGGAAGGGGCGAGTGAATGCAGCTCCTCATTGTATAGATGCAGAAAAGGAGATGCTTTCGTTCATTAATTCAACAAATAATTTAGATCCCCTCCTCTGGTGCAAAGGAGCTCTGGTAGCACGCACATGGAGCTGTCAGCCACAGGTCAGAGTTTGAACCCCTTAGAGAGTTAACCCCTCACAAACCCCAAGGACCAGTTCTTCTCTGTTCTGTAGGGTCCCTGGGACTAGGAATCGACTGGAAGGCTGTGGGTTTGCACTTGGTGGTTGTTATGGTTTACTCCGGCGCAGAATCGGGCAGTGTCCCTTCTGTTGAACATAGGGTCGCTATGAGCCAGAACCGATGCTGTGGTTCCCAACAACAAATCTGTGCTCACCAATCAATTTATTCCATACAAATAACATAGAGACCCTACTCGGAGCCAACGGAGTCCTGGTGACACTATAAGGTAAGCGTTGGTCCATACACACCAGTCATTCCGAGGTAGAAACAAGAGTCGACCTGCTACCCCAAACATTGACAAAGGCTCCGAAACCCACATCAGGGCTGCTATGAGTTGGCATCGACTACATGGCATTGGTTCTACCCACTCCACCCCCGGCCCCCCGTTATTCTGTGCCAGACCCTAGACCACTAGGTGCTAGGATACATTAGTGAACCAAATATTGATTCCTGTTCTGTAGAGTTCATATTCTAATGGCACACAGAGAAAAATAACAATGGGTAAATAGATCATAGATGATGCCAGAAGGTGACTCGTTCTAAGGCTAAAAGGGAAACTACACTATGGGAAGGGGATTGGGGTGCGAGAGTGGGACCTGAGGAATGGGGACTGAGCTGGACCTTATCGCGAATGTGCGTTCTGATCAAACGCTGAAGAAAGTAGGGGTTTAGCTGTATGCATATCTGGGGGATGAGGCTCCCAAGCGAAAGGCAGATGCAGTACGAACTCCCTCAGTAGGAGCATGGCTGGTGAGTTCCGGGGTCACAAGGAGTGGGAGTGAATGCGGGACTGGATGTCCAATACTGGACAAAGAAAGGTTTCTGGTTTAGGCGACAGTGAAAGGACAGTGTTGATTCCTCTTGCCTGGGGTGACCAAAACTTCCCTAGACAATAGATGCTCTAGCTAGCAATGAGGATCCTCAATTGGTTCCAAAGAGCCACCAGGACTGACAGATGAACTTGCAAAGCCACGGGGTGCACAAAGCATTGTCTGGTTAATTACAGTTAGTCAGGTAGCCCCTTGGGGTAAAATATGTGGGTCCTGAGGAGACAGTTGGTGGCGCTTGAGGGTGAGGTGACAGGAGGGGTTGGGAAGAAGGCAGGTGCCACATCAGAGAAGGCTCTGGGTGCTATGTCACCAAGTGTGCATGCAGAACCGAAGACACAGGCACAGAGCAGGGCTGGGAATGCTCACTGGGGCCTTGGACCAGGTGGATGGCAGGGAGGATGACTGGAAGCACGGAGCTTAGTCATGAGGGGGAGAGGATGGCTGTCTGACCTCGGGCAGTGGCAGTGGAGTGAGAGAGGAAGGACCAGATATCAGAGAGTTCTCAAAAGTAGAAGCATCTGAGTGAGCAGATGAAGACATGAGTTTGAATCGAGAAGCAATTGCAGAGGCTCTCAGGGTTTTGCTATAGGCATTTGCTGTTCGATGGTAGGAATATTGATGCATATGTAACAATTACCAATCATTTAAATAATAGTATATAACCATCAGTTATGAAATCTCAGTGAAATCTATCAACAAATATCTACATTGAATATTTATAGATTTCTGATCTGGGCTGAGTTTAGCTAAACTGGGCTCATTCACACATTTTGGTCAGATGAACAGGACACCAAGTCGTCTTTGGTTAGGATAGGAGTCAAGTGGTTGAATTTGGGTGGCTCAGCTGGCAAGGCTCAGATGACAAGGCAATGTCCCATGAGTTCCATCCTCCAGCCACCTAGCCTGAACAGGTTCCCTTCATAGGAGCCAGAGTTGCTTCACTGACAACGTTTTGGAAATATAGTTCCATATTTGATTCCATGCGGTGGATATTTACACAGAGAAGCAGGAGGATATTTACAAAAAGAAGCCAGGGACACTTGGCGACATGAGGTGAGTAGAGATCCAAGGACAATTTTCAGAATCTTCTCCTGCTTTGAAGGTCTAAGGAGAAGAAGAGAAGTCCAGGGCAGAGACTTGGCAGAGTGATCCGAGAGGTGGCAACCCAACAAAAGGAAAGGGTGACCACGCCAAGAAGGAACTAGTTTCGAGATAGGCTCCAAGGGTTGTGTGCTGAAAGGAGACCAAGGAGGAACGGCAGGGTGACTGCTAGGCTGTCAACCAGTAGATTCTGGTGAACTCTTCAAGACTAGATACAACGGAACCCTAGGAGACGCCAGCCTGTTGGAGATAGAGAAGTGTGAGAGGTGAGAACATAGAGGTATTGATGGGTTTTAAAACTTGCTGTTCTAAGGAGATGGAGAAAGAGACTAAATATTTGAACAGAAGTAGGCTGAGAGGACTCGGGAGAAAGACAAGGTTTCCTACTCCCGTAAAGAGTTATGGTCTCAGAAACCCACAGGGACAGTTCTGCCCATCCTGTAGGGTCACTATGAGTGGGTTATCAACTCAATGGTGGCGAGTGAGTGAGTGGAGAGGAAGAGATTAACAACACGGGTGGGGGAAGGAGGAGTGAGGTGAAAGAAAAGAGAGGAGAGGAAAGGAAATGAAGGGAGGTGAATAATTGATGTGACCAAATCTTAGGAGAGATGGTGGCCTGGGGGTTCCAGTGTGCAAGGTAACAATTATCCTCTAGTGAGGGTGATGTCCACTCGCTCTGTGACAGGAAGCTGAGTGCAAGATTAGTTTGAATGCAGAAGAACTAGTGGGTGTTTAAAGCAAAATAAATGAACAAAATCCACAGTTCTCTTAATTTCAGTTGTTCTTTACTTTGTAGAGTGAGCCCAACACATTTTATGGCCTACTTTAACATATACCCTGGAAAAAATTTTTTTTTGTTCATAATGCCATCTTATTTCTTCTGGCCTGGTTCGGAGTTTCCTCTTTTGAATTATGTTTCTGGGTCAGAAAAAGGCTTAGAGTTTTTTTCTTCCTTTTGATCTGTCCTTTAGTTTTTAACCCTACCTGCTTGGAAAGAGTAGTCCCCAGCCTCCCACTGCCTTTGGCCTGATTCTGAATTATAGGACAGAATAGAGCCACATTTTCTAGGCCGTAAATCTTTATGGTGTTTGTATTGCTTATTCATCACTTAGAAGCCCAATGCTTAACACACCATACCACCAAAGCTCCTTTGTACCTAGGCTCAGGGCTCCCCTCAAAGTCCATACACCTCTTTCACGGTTCCCCTTGGGGTCTCAGCCTTGCTCCAGTAGGGATGGCCCATGATCCAAGAGGACTGGCTCCTTAGGTGTCACATGCCAGAGTCCAAGTCCTGCGCTTGGAACAAGGTGGCCACCTGGGGCTCCACAGCTTCCCTTCCGCAGGTGTGGGCTCCGCCCCTCAGGTGCGCATCAACGGGCCAGAGGAAGGTGGGGTCCGCGTGGTGTGCACGGCCTCCGGGTGGTTTCCGAAGCCCCAGGTGCAGTGGAGAGACCTCAGTGGAGGGAAGTTCCTGGCTTTCTCTGAGACCCACGTCCAAGAAGCTGACGGGCTGTTCCGCGTGGAGGCCTCGCTGGTGCTGAGAGACAGCTCTGTGCAGAACGTGACCTGCTCCCTCCGCAACCCCGTCTTAGACCAGGAGAAGGTGAAGGCCATTTTCATCCCAGGTCAGCGCTGTTCCTGTTCTGGGCTGGGGGAAAGGGGTCCTTGACTGTGCTGGGCTGTGCTGGCCGGAGTGC